TACTCGGGTCGGGCGAAAGGGGGGGATAGCCAAGGGGGGGTTTGAGAATCAGCTCACGTAGCTGATTTTCCCGGCGCCTCCCGGCGCCCGAGGCGGCTATGTATCGAGGAATGGGCTCCTCGGTGGGGCCGAAACCAGCTACATGCAGCAAATCTCGTAACCCCCCCTTTCTCCCAATCAATCCCCCCCTTTTGTCAGGCCCGAGTTTCAACGCCGATGTCCCGAGAGCGGCCCCCCGACCCCCGGGGCATCGCCCTCTGCTCACAACGTCGGCGACCTGGAGGTGCCGACCCCCGTGCCACGGGGCCCGGCGAGGGGCCCCGGGGGCCCCAAAAATGGCCATCACAGAAAGCGCGCCCGCCATGACTCCTCCACGACGCGAGCCTGCCTGGGAAGGGGCATCACCTGCCATCGCGGAACAAAAACGTCCGCCACGTTTTCTCCCGCGGCGCGCGCCTGTCTGGGCGAGGGCTCCGGGCGCCGCGGCCCGTCCCCCTGGCGCGCCCCGAGAGCGCCCCGAGAGCGCGGCAGCACCTCTCCGACCCCCCCTAGGCCCTGCCCCGTGGGGGCACCGCCCGCGCTCCTGGATGGGGATGCTGATGCGGAGCCGGAACCTCAGCTTCAGCTCCGCCAGCCGCTCCATCACGTCGGAGAGGTACTCCTGCGCGGCCCCCGGCCGCCGCGCCGCGGGCGGGGCGGCCGCCGGGCCCGCGGCAGGGCGCGCGGCGCCCGCCGACGGCAGTCCACGCCCTGGGCCCGCCCCCTCACGCTCGGGAGCTGCGGAAGGTGGAGCCCCCCCGGTGCCCCCCCCCCCCTCCCCCCTTGTCGCTCCCGTCGTGGCCCTGTGGACCTGTGAGGGTTCCCCCCCCCCCCCGGCTTGTCGCTCCCTTCTGCAGCCCCCCGGGGCCCTGCGGGCCCTGTGAGGGGTGCTCCATGGAGGCCACGAGGGCCCCCCAGGGAGTCCTGCAGAGCACCCTTGGGCCGGTGGCACTCCTCGCAGCGGCCGGCATATGTGGTCGTCGAGGGGGAGAACCGGGCCCCGGCGTCGACGTCCAGAGCTTCTCAATCCAAGGGTCCCCGGAGGTCTGGACCTTTTGCCCGGGGCCGGTTCGGCGTCCCGAGTCGTTTCTTGGCCGTCCCAGGGCCAGGCGAGGACCCCCCCAATCCGAGAATTGCGAAACACCTTCGTCTCGCGGTTCTCGAGATGCTGGAGGTCTGGGACCGGCACGCGCGCAGGCCATGTCTGAAAAACGTGTCTGTACGTAATTAGGCCTCGCTGGCATGGCCTCGGGCTGCGCACTCGGCTACACACAAGAGTGACCCTGGGCAAGGGTGAACTTTGGTGCGCGGCTTAACCAGGGACGCTGGGTGGCCAAACCTGGGCGTGCAAGCCGCTGCCACCGCTTCGCGTTCGGCGATCGGGGGACCCCATTGGGCCCGCACCAGAGGCCACTCCAGCGCAAGGCCACTCCAGAGTCTAGCCGGCGCACACAGAGGGCCTCGCGATGGGGGGGCCGGGCTGGCCCCTGGCACCCCCCCCAGGGCACGGTCGTAGCGCACTGACATGTGGCCGAATCGGGAAACTCAGAACCCGAAAACGTCTTCCTCTCTTGGGGGCGCAGCTTTTGTTTCCGTCGCCTTTTCCGCCGGCCTCGTTTCCCTTCCGCCGCCCCTCCGCCGCCCTTCCGCCGAGGAAGAGATGGCAACTCCTCCGACCCTCGAGATGGGATGAGAGGGGGTGGGCGGGAGGGAGGGAGGGAGGGAGGGAGGGAGAACGAGGAGGAAAAGTAGGAGGCGGAGGCGGAGGAGGAGGAGGAGGAGGAGGAGGAGGAGGAGAAGCAGGAGCAGATGGCCACTCCTGGCCACGCTCCGCCTCGGCCACGGGGAGGCACCCCGCCCCGGGAGGCCACGGAGACAGCCCGAGAGGCAGGGCCCCATCCGGAGCCCCAGCCGGTCTGTACTCTTTAGCGCCTCGACTCCTGCCGTCGCTCGGGCGTCCGCTCCCCGTGCACTTGTTGCTGTCGTGCGGCGCTTTCTTCCTGTTTCTTGTTCTTCTTCTTCTTATTATTTTCATTATTCCTCTTCTTCTTAGTTTTCTTCCTCTTCTTCTTCCTCGCAAGGTGACGTCCAGGATGCTCCTAGACAGCCCTCGCCGAGAAAGAGGCGCACGCGTCCGAGCGATGCCAAGGCGTTGCAATTCTTGCGCGCCGGGCGCTTTCGCCCGCTTCGGGGGGGACCTTTACAGATCGATCCAGCTCGAACATTGGCACAGAAAGCTGCAACTTTCCCACGCTGGGCGTTTTCGCCGGGCTTGGGGCCCCGGGACCCTCACAGATCGATCCGGCTCGAGAGATGACGCAGAAAGCTGGGGCTCCGGGCCTCCCGTCGTGCTTTCAGCGCTGCTGCACTTTTTGCCACAGCGTCGGATCTCGGGGCAGCCGAAGGGGCTCCCGAGGGGGCCTCGGCTGGCCGGGTGCAGCACGGTCGCTGTCGACGGGCGGAGTCGGAGAGCCGAAGCCCTTCCTTGTCGGCTCGGACTCCTGGCTGGTCACCGTGGCCCGACCCTCCTCTGTCTCCTCCGTCCTCCTCGCCCTCGTCCTGTCATCCCGTTTGTTCTCGTCCTCCTCGTCCTCCTCCTGTCGGCCCATTTCTTCTCGTCCTCCTCTTCATCCAACTCCTCCTCCTCCTCCTCCTCCCCCTCCTCCCCACCCCTTCACCTCCCGCTCCTTCAACGCTTCCATCGCCTCCTCCTCCTCCTCCTCCTCCTCTGCCTCCTCCTCCTCCCGCTCCTCACCTTCCCCCCGCACCTCCTCATTCTCCTCCTTTCATCTTCTTGCAGCACTGCCCAGGCCAAGGCCACTAATTTGCTTGACTCCGGTTGGCATGGACCGGCAGAGTTGAGGATGAAAGGCAGACGTCTGAGAGATGAGAGGGCGTGGAGGAAGAATTCGCCGGCCCAACGGGCCAGAGGCGTGCTAAAATCTCCGGTAACTTGTTAACAATATTTCTAGTTCGCGCGCGCGGAGCGGCCCCTGGGGGCCCCCGGACGAAAAGTACCCCGGCAAGGTCCCGAGAGAAGCCCGGGAGAAGCCACCAGACCACTCCAGGGGAGGGTATTTTTCGACACCCCTCACGAGGATCGTGGCCTCCGAGGGGGGGGAGCCGCAATCGACTACCCCCAAGAGCCCCCCAAGAGGCCCTGGGGGCCTCCAAAACGCCGCCAAGGAGCCCCAAGAGACTCCCAAGAGGTCCCCAAGAGGCCCCCAAGAGGCCCTAAAGAGGGCTCCAGGGCCGGCGGCATGAGCGAAGCGATTAAATAAGCGGCGAATGATCCTACCAGCTGGCGGAGCATGCAAAAGAAACGGCCAAATGACCCCGGGCCTTTCTCCGAGACGGCCTTTTTATCCCTGGGGCCCAAGAAAGGCCGGTAGAGCAAACGGTGAAAGACCTTTGAACCCTCGTCCCTCAGGACCGCTTTTTCTTCACTGCGACCAGTACAAGCAGACGAGCAGACGGCTGCCAGACGTATAATAGTCAACTAAAGCACCCCCTTCGCTCCCGCAGGCCTCAGTGAACGGTGGGTTGACGCACACCACTGAAGTCATCGGAATCTCCTTCACCACCTCCGGGTACTTGCCAATCGAGCCAAATCGCCACTCGATGTGTGGCCACCTTAGCGCGGATCGGCGATCGAAATGAATCGGATCGGCGGAATTCGACAGCCACGTCGGGAGAAGTTGAATCAGCGAAAATCAAGAGGCTGCGAAGGCTTACATTGAGAAGCCGAGAGCCAAAGAGTCAGGATCTCTGAAGTGGCCCAGGGTCATACAAATAAAAAGACACAAATCCCAGGAGTTCCCACATGTTCCATGTTTCTTGGACGTTCGGCTTCCCCTCCACTTCCCATCTGTTCTTCATTCTCCTGGGAATCGACGTTTATTTGTGTCTGCGTGTTTTGTTCCCTCCCGAATCTCAGGGCTTGCCTGGCCTGGGTCGTCTCCGATCGGCTACACGCCAGGGTGACCCTGGGCAGGAGTGAACTCTGGAGCGCGGACCAAAGGGGGCGCCAAGAGAGGCCAGATCCGAGCGCGCAGTCAACCGCTGTCGCATCGCGCTCAGCGATCGCGGGGACCCCGACGAGCCCGCACCAACAGTCGGGGGTGGACAGACCTCCCTTTAGTAAAACGTGGTTTAGTGAAAACGACCTGAGGCCCAAACCTGGCGGGCGCAAACTGGAAAATAACGGCCGCGGCGCTCCCTCGAGAACCGAAAACGGACAATTCACTAATCGACGTGTCACTGTTGGGGGTTCTGTCCACCCCCGAAACAGGTCCCTCCGGCGGAAGGTCACTCTTACGTGCAGCCTCGGGCGCGAATGAACTTATTGGGGGGCGATCCACGGGGTGGGGGGAAAGAGAGAGGTGCCGCTCGCGGGCCCGGAAGGTCCCCCTTCCTGGGGCTCGAATGGGGTCCCTTTGGGGGCAGCGAGAGCTCCGCTTCGGCAGCCCTCGCTGCCCCCCCCCCGCTCATCGCCCCCCTTCGGAGGCAACTCGTGGGAGCCTCCCATGAGATCTCGTCGGCCTTCGCAACCGGCGCTGATCGACGCTAAATCGACGCGAATCGACGCCGAATCGACGCTAATCGCCGCAGGCCGGCGCTAAATCGGCGCGTCTCATCGACTCCCAGACGCTAAATCGACGCTCACCGACGCCAAAGACGGAATTACGAGAATACACCAGGCTCCCATGATGATTTGCTATCGGAGACGCGGGCGTCGTCTGCTCGGACAGATGCTCAGAAGGGGGGCGGTGACCGTAGAGAGCCCCATGGGGCGTCCCACAGTTCCGTGCGGCTCGGGGCACTTCGCCCAGACTCCGCTGGGCTTTGGCCAGACATGCCTGGACGAGATCTGGACGACACCCGTTGGCGGCGCGCACAAGGGGGTGGGGGGGAGGGCTGCTTAAGAACAGGCTGCTTCTTCGAAGGCGCTGGCCTTCCATCTATAGAGTAGGCCCGCGCCTAGGGGTGCCTCTAAGCAAGCCCTCCCCCCTCCCCCCACCCCCCTCTGCGCGTGGCCGAACCCGGCTCCCGTGAGCTGCCACCGAACACTACGCGCCCTCCGATCCTCGATCCGACGCCGCCGCCCGGCACCGCGCCGGCACCGCCCGGCGCCACGCACCCGGCCCGGGCCCGCGGCGCCCCGCTCGCGAGGCCCGCCGGCGAGGCACCCGCTCGGAGGCGGGGGGCGCAGGCCTCTGCGGCCTCCCTCCGCAGAGGTGCGGCGCTCTGCAGGGCGCGAGCTGCCGGAGAGGGGCGATCAATCAGAGAGCAGAAAAATCCACCCCCAGAGTAAGCACCCCGACACGCGAGGCCGTTCCGAGTAAACGCACCCATGGAAGGCATCGAACAGGGCAGGGCTACCTAGCAAACGCCCAGGGCCGTTTGGTACACGCCAATTGGTGGGGTCGGGGTGGCTTTGCCCCCCTAGATCCATCGGGGGGGAGAGAAGAATGCCCTTTTCGGACCCAAGAGGCCCCCTTTGGGGCCTTCAAGGCCCCTTGGGAGACCCGGCCCCTGTTCTGCAGCCCTCGTTGCCCCCCCCATGTATCGCCCCCCCACTCCGCGTCCCCCCCCAACCTTGAACAAAGTTGGAACAGACGGTTTGGGGTTCTGTTCGGACTCCACGGACCCCTCCTCCAGTCGAGCAGGGGATCGGCCGCAGAACCGATCTGCCCCAAACTGCATCTGTTCGTCGAGGAGAACGAAAATACGCTAGGAGAAATACGCGGGGCGCTCGATCATTTTACGAGCATTCTTAGTATTGCTTCGTAACTTCGACGAACGAATCACTTCTGGGGGAAATCAAGTATGTAGTCGACCCCCCCAGCGCTTGGAACAGAGTAGGAGCAGCAAGGTTGGGGCGATGTTCGGCTCAACGGTTATGTTGCCCCCATCACACTTACGAGACACATCCCAGAAATATCGAAACAGTGTCTGCCCGACACGCTAGCGAAGTGTCGAACGAGAGTCGCCTCCCAGGGCCCGACAAGTTGAAACCCTCCAGCTGGGGCGCTTTCCTGATGCTCGAAATACGTTCTGGCGATCAAGGCTAACGTGGGTCGGAATACGATAACTCAACGGGCCCCTCCTTCCTCCACGGGCCCCTGGACCATACAGTCGGGGCGTTGACCTAAGGAACCCTAAATAAGGAACGAGGCCCCTTTTTTTCCATAAGTGAAACTTCGATTTCCTATCGAAAACATAAGGAAAAGCTGAGGCAAGCTGTGAAACACTTAAGGAACGCGGAGCCCCTCCCCAACCAAAAGGGTTCCTTCTTCAGGGCCCCTGGACCATACAACAGCTGCTCAGATTCCCCCCGCCCCTTCCCCGATCCTCGAGCGTCGAGGGCAGAGCTCGGCAGGAGCGGGAGCATGGAGAAGCCAGGGGTTCGATCCTGGACCCCTGGTGGAGCGCAAGCCTCCAACCCTCGCGCCGAAGACCGCCGGACACCGCCGCAGACCGCGTCGCAGACGGTCCGAAGACCGCCGAAGGCAGTCGCAGACCGGCCCCGGAGCGCTGGGGTGCCAAAGGGCCCACGGTCCAACGCGTAAGGGAGGCGCAGACCCAGACATCCGGCGCTCTTCTGTTTTTCGGTGCGACCCCCGGAGGACTTGCTCTGAGGGTCCTTGCGCGGAAGGCCGGGGGCTGTTTCCCTGCTGGTACGCTTCGCCCCGCGAAGCGGTTGCCAAGCGATGGGGAGCGATGATGCTGGAACAAGTTGGCATTAAGAAGGAGGAGGAAGAGAAGAAGGAAGGAAGGAAGAAAGGAAGGAAGGAAGCGGTGGTAAGATTTGCTCCTGCCCAGGACCCTGACACACAGGGCCCCCCAGAGGCCCGACAGGGGTCGGAGGCGCTCGAATGCCCCTCGACATTGTCCGCTGTGCCAACAGCCTGGGAAGCACGAAGCCTCGCGGTTGCAGGGCTCAGCGAGCCCCGCCTCTCCGCCTCTCTCCTCCTGCTGCTCGCTCCTCATCCTCTCCTCCTCCGCCTCCCTCCTCCTCGTCCTCGTCCTCTCATCCTCCTCCTCGTCTCCTCCATCCTCATCTCCTCCTCTCCCTCCTCCTCCTCCCCTCCCTCCTCTTCCTCCTTCCTCCTCCTTCTCCTCCTCTTCCTCCTCCTCTTCCTCCTCCCTCCATCTCTCCTCCCTCTCCCCTCCTCCTCCTCCTCCCTCCCTCCTCCCCCTCCTCCTCCTCCTCCTCCTCCTCCTCTTCCTCGTACCTCCACGTGCCTCCGCCTCCTCCTTCTCCTCCATTCTTCCTTTTCCTCCTTGTCCTCCTTTTCCTCCGTTTCCCCCTTTTTTCGTCCTCCTCCTCCTCCTCCTCCTCCTGCTCCCCCTCCTTCCTCATCCCCTTCAGCAGCCCCCCCCCCTCGTCGTCGTCGTCGTCGCCCTTCTCCTCGTCGTCTTCCTCGTCCGCCGCTGCCGGCGCCAGCGCCACCGCCAGCGCCGCCGCCGCCGCCGCCATTAGCGCAACTAGCGCCGTCGCGGTCGTCGCCACGTCGTCGTCAGCTGCTTGGCGTGGGCACTTGCTTGCAAAGCGGCCATTGGGCACGGTCGCGTTCAGCGGCGACGCAAAGAGCTCGAAGTCGCAGTGCTGGCGGATCTCGCGCGGGCTCGCTGGCCGGCGAGGGAACGGTGGCCACGAAGGGTTCGGAGAGGACCGAGGCTCGAGGTTGCTTGGTGGTCTTCGCTCTCTTTGGGCCTCCGCGAAGCTCCTCGTCGCCACCCGCTGTACTACCCTTGGAACTCTGGCCGGGGAGGGGCCGATCCATCAGGGTCGCCACAGAACAGAAACAATCCTGGACACGGCGCAGGCTAAACATTGCTTTTCGTTCTCGTGTTGTCTTCCCTCGTTCAGCCTTCGCGTTGTCCCTGCTGCGAAGCGAGCGTTTTGGACGCCCGAAATGGGCACGGAAAGAATGTGTACAATGCCCAACGACAAACGTTGCCCCAAACCAGCAGCGGCCGCTGTTGGGCAGGCGGCCTTCTGTCTAAAATGGACACAGGCCGCGGCGTCGCGGACAGCGAGTCCTGTTCAAAATGAACAAGAACTGCTGTTGGGCATTGCACCCATCCTTTCCGTACCCATTTCGGGCGTCCAAGAGCATCGCCCAAGCACCGTTTCGCTCGAGCCCCGGCCCTGGAGGAGAGGCGCCAGGGGCCCTGCTCGCGCTCCTCTCTCCCCCGCCGGGGGGCTCCCAGGGCCCTCCCTGGGGCCCTACGGCCCTGCCAGAGAGCGGCCCGGGGCGGACAGCTCATCCAGGGGGAAAAGAAACCTACCTCGCTGTTGACCACCCTCGCTTCCAAGAGATACCAAGCGATGCCAAACTACGGCCCGTACTGGTTAGGCCGCTTGACGAGGAGGCGCGTGGTGTGACTTGGTTTTGCCTGGAAGCGAAAGCGGGGTAGGTAATTCACGCTCTGATCATCTCTGGGCGAGGCTCCCCAGGGTCCCCAGGACCCGTTGCCTCGAGGAGCCTTCTCCCCCGCGTCTTGTGGCCGTGGGCCGCTGCAGGCTGGGCTCCCGACAGGACCCACGAGCAGGAAAAGGGTATGGAAAGGGAGTGGCGGGCCCTTCCAGTGAAATCGAGGCCCGCAGGAACTCAAAGAATAGTGAGCCTTTCTGTTCTCCATGCCGGGTGACGGTCGTTCCCATGGGGGGTTGGGCCTTCGGGCGGGAGGGTAACGGCAATGGTGCCCGCGGCGTGCACCCGCCAGGGTGCGTCCGCGCCACCGGCGCATCAATCGCGCGCGTGCACCACAGCATGTAGGGAGGGTCCAGGCCCCCCCCCCCCAATACGATTTTTGACGTTGACCGGGGAGGGGGAGGGGGGGTTTGGCCCGGGCAACGAGCGTTGCGCTGGGGAGGGAACACAAAACGCTGACGTGGCCGCCGAATTGGCGCGCACCTTGCAAGGCCGATACGACCGGCGGAGGAAGAGGAGGTGACGCGCAAGATCCACGCTATGTGAGAGAAGCGGATCCCTCGACCACCCCTTGGCCACGACGATGACAGATGGAAAGCGCGACACTACACGCTGCTGGACTGCGCCCACTCGGCCACTTTTCTGTCAGGCGGATCAAATCGTCCCTTTAGCGGGCACCTGTCCGCCCTGCCAGATTCGAGTAGTGGACGAACTTTCAGTCAGTGTCGTCCCGAAAGACTGCACTGCCTTGATGCGCCTGTTCGAGGAGTGATGCTCCATTGGCATGCAGTGGAATTGTTGTTGTGTTTGGCTCAACTATCGCGCGGTTCCGCCTTGGGTCTTGGCCCAGGAAGGAAGCAACTGCCATGGCGCCTACGAGGTACGTCCGCCGAGTTGGGGCGCCTGGGAAGGAACGGGTCCGCTGCCCGACGCAACCCCGCCTGGCCGGGGACGGCTTCCGACTTCCAGACGCAGTGAACGACGCTTCCACGCGACGCCAAAGAGGGCACCACGCATATTCCCGCCATCGCTCGAACGTCCAGCGCCTATCTTTAAGTTGGGCGTGTCCCCCTACAGGTGGTCAAAAATACCCCAAAAGGTCAAAACATACTCTCAAAATAGTCCCCAGACTATGTTTGGATTATTTTTTGCACATTTGTGGGGTATGTTTTTATTTTTCGTCGAAAATCCCCCTGTAGGGGGACAGGCCCGACTTAGGCCTATCTTTCGCAAGGTGGTCCAAGATGATCCCAGATGCTCCAGGACTTTCCGGCGCTGGTCCCGCCGAGCGACGTGCACGCGTCCGAGCGAAGCCCCGTGTCTGCACCGCTCGGGGGCGCGACATGGATCAGCGATCCGTGAGACAAAATCACAAAAAACAAAAAGCACGGTGGGGGAATACACACACACACATTCACACACACAAAAAACACAAAAACACACAACACCAAACACAACACAAACACACACACACACACACACAACAAAAAACACAAACACAAACACAAACACAAACACAAACACAAACACACAGACACACACACACAAAAAAAACACACACACACACAGGATCTGGCGCGCGGTCGCCAAATCCATGGATTGGGGGAGGTGCCCTCCCCAAAATGCGGCTGGTGCCGCCTCGCTCGGCGGCGGAGATCCGCGACTTCCATAATGGAAACGGGACCCGTCGCTAATCCAGGCCCCCACTGATCCATGTTTGCGATCGCCTGAACCATGGGTCTGCCAACATGTCGTACGCCCATGGGCTGCCGCAGCCTGCGGCACGAGCGAGCGAGCGAGCTGCCTGTCTGCCTGCCCGACCCCGCGGCGACGACCTCCAGCGCATCCGCACACGCCTCGAGCGGCAGGGGCGGCCTGCACCTGTAGCAGGGGCCCGCCTTCGTCGTGAGGGGCAACGTCAGAGGGGGGGACAGGCTCAGGGGGGCAATCTGAAGGGGCCCAGGGACACACACAGTCAAACAGACACCAACCTCATATGATCCCCTGTTCTGGATGTTCGTCTTCCCCTTCACTGCCCCCCATGCTTTCTGCATTTTCATGGGAATCGGCGCCTACTTGTGTCTGCGCTTTCTCCCCTCCTGACAATCATCGACCTGGCATCGACCTGGCATCGGCGATACATCGCCGATAGATCGGCGATAGGCCCCCGATGGCAAATCCGCACGTGCCCCCGAGCTGCGGTGCTCCGAGCAGCCGGCGCCCTGTGCCACAGGGCACGCCCCGCGAGCCTCCTGCACTGAACTGCCCTGCCATCTGAGGCCCCTGCTCGCGGCGCAGGCAGGCGGCAGGCGCGCACCTTCCTCCTCCTCCTCCTCCTCCTCCTCCTCCTTTTCTTCCTCCTCCCTCTCCTCCTCCTCCTCCTCCTCCTCCTCCTCCTCCTCCTCCTCCTCCTCCTCCTCCACGTCTTCCTGTTCCTCATCCTCCTCCTTTCTTCTGCTTCTCTTCCTCCACCTCCTCTGCTTCCGACAGAGACGGCCACCGCTGCTCGCAGAGGGCAGGGCGCTCGGGGCGCCTCGGGAGGGAGGCCCAGGTGCACCCCATTGCGCCGGTCGCTCAGCGGATTGTCGAACAGGCTGTACAGCGCCAGCAGCCTGGCAATCTCCAGCTGCATGCGGGCCTTCTCCTGCTTCGGGGTGCGCTGGGATTGTCGACGACGCCGTCGCCTCGTCCCCGCCCAACAGGTTGGAGCTATCATATTTAAAGAAAACAGCTCCCTACCCGCCTCGCGCACCCTGCATGCCGGGGCCGCCTCGCCCAAAGGTCCCGGTGCTCCCTGGGGATCCCCCTTCGCGTTCTCGGGTGGGGACCGCTCGCAACGCCAAACATATTGCTGCTGTCTTTTCCGTCGTCGTCGGCGACGTCGTCGTTGTCGTTTCGGAGGCGGGCGGGCGTCTCTGGAGGCGCCCCTCGCCGAGGCCAAGCGCGGCTCGAGAGACTGGCCGAGCATGCCCCCCAGAGGGGCCCGGGGACCAGCTTCACACGCACCTCGATCGGGCTCAGGGCGAGAGGCTGGGGCGCGAGTTGATGGGAGGGGCCATCGATGTGGTGGTACACAAGGTGCTCTTTTCGGGCGTGGCACACCGCTCCGCTGGAGCCCCTTAGCGCGAAAGAAACTTGAGACAGAAACAGGAGACGCGGATAGAAAGAAAGAGAGAGCGAGAGAGAAACAAAGAGAGAGAGAGAGAGAGAGACAGAAAGAGAGAGAGAGAGAGAAAGAGAAACAACAAACAAGAAAAAGGGAGAAAGGGAGACATAGAGAAACAGAAAAAGAGAAACACATAACAATAGAGAGAGAGAGAGAACTATAAACAAACACATAGAGATATACGAGAGAAACGAGACGAGACGAGACGAGACGAGACAGAGGACGAGACGAAGAGGAGGCAGGATGAACAGGTGACGCGAAGAGGAGGAGGAGGAGGAGGAGGAGGAGGAGGAGGAGGAGGTAATTAGGAGGAGGAGGAAAAGGAAAAGGAGGAGGAGGGAGGGAGGAGGAGGAGGAGGAGGAAAAGGGAAGAGGAGGAGCAGGAGGAGGAGGAGGAGGAGGAGAGGAAGAGGGGGACGGGGAGGAGGAGGAGGAGGAGGAGGAGGAGGAGGAGGAGGAAAAGTAGGAGGAGGAGGAGGAGGAGGAGGAGGAGGAGGAGGAGGAGGAGGACGACGAGGAGGGGGAGAAGGAGGAGGAGGAGGAGGAGGAGGAGAAGGAGGATCAGGCGCCCTAAACAAGCATCGCCTGAGGCCCTGGAGGGCTCTTTTTCGGCTGCCCTCGTTCCCCCCCCCTCCCCGCCCCCCACTAACCGCGCCCCCATTGACTCGTCCTCCGAGGGGGGCGGCCTGCCGAGAAGTCCAGGGGCCTCTCCGGAGGCATCCGAAACTGTCGCAGAGAGCCTCGCGAAGGCGGTGCGAGGAGGCGCTGCCCGAGAGGCCCGTCCCCTGCTCCGAGATGCCGGCCCCCTCGCGCGCCAGCCCGTCCTGCGCGCCACCGCTGCTGGGGGGGCGGCCAGGGCCTCCCCGCGAGCACAGCCACGAACCCTTCGGGGAACAGTTGGGGGAGGGCGGCGGGGAATGTCAGGAGGAGGACGAGGACGAGGGTTCGGATTCGGATAATAGGACGCAGCGTCCAAGGGCAAAGGGCGCGCAAACCCGAACTCTCCGGAACAAAGCCCGCCGCAGGAGGGGGAACCGTGACCAACGCGGTGTTCGAGCCAGCAAGTCACGAGAGTTGCCAACAAGCCCCAGTAAGTTGGGCAAGTTCCTTCCCCTGCGTAGAGAGAGAGAGAGAGAGAGAGGGAGAGAACAAAAAGAGAGAGAGAGAGAGAAAGCAAAAACAAAACAACAAAAAAAGAGAAAGAAAGAAAGAAAGAGAGAGAGAGAGAGAACACAAAAAACACGAAAGGGAGGATCAAAGCCTCCCGTTCCCGCAAGCGCGAGCGAAGACCAACGCCTCGCTCAGAGGAGGAGGAGGAGGAGGAG